TCCATAGATACAGGTGCTGTGTGTGACGTATTTCTCAAGGTCTTTATCTGGGATGTTGTGAATTATGGCGTAAAGAGATGCCGGGTCTCTGCAGGGTCAGGAAGTCCCAGTCCCGCTGTCTTCCACTTGGTTGTGTGAGTCACTTGTGAATTGAGTCAGGTGCTTTTTATACCCGTAGGAAGGAGAAATAAGACACTTTTATAGCTTTGTTTTGTGTAGCACCCAATGGAGGCTATGTGCTTGAACTAAGCTCTTGAAGGCTTATTTCTTTTGTTTTCCCAGCCCAGTGTCCGGCACAGGAGAGTCACTCTTTGTTGAAAGACTCAGTGAATGACTAGCTGACCTTCCTAAAGCGCTGTAAATGTGGCTTGGCCTTTTTTGATGTTGTTTAATTTGATACAGACAATTGTAAAATTGAACCATGGATGTAATTTCTTGTACATGAGACAATACAGAGTCTGAAACTGTAAATGAGATGGCCTAATTGTCTGCTGTCAGCCCATAATAAAACAGTTGGTTTTGGTGCATTGGGGAAATGAGTAACACTGCCTAATTGAGTTAAAATGCCAAAGAACAAATGGTAACTTTCCAAGTTAAAAGGAAGGAAAAAACCCGGAAGTCTCAGAATTCAGAGAATATTACTGTCTTAAGATAATAAGAACTGGTCTTCTTCTGGTTCCAGGCAGTTGGCACCTCAGTTTACAGTGCAGTTATGGCCAAATCCAAGAACCACATCACGCACAACCAGTCCCAAAAATGGCACAGAAATGGCATCAAGAAACCTCGGTCACAAAGATATGAATCTCTGAAGGGGGTAGATCCCAAAAGGGGTAGATCCCAAGTTCCTTAGGGACATTTGTTTTGCCAAGAAGCACAACAAGAAGGGCTTCAAGAAGATGGAGGCAAACAGTGCCAAGGCCATGAGTACATGCACAAAGGCTATCAAGGCCCTCGTCAAACCCAAGGAGGTCAAGCCCAAATCATTCCAAAGGGAGTAAACCACAGGCTCGCTCGACTTGCCTATATTGCGGGAAGTGTACCCCTACCTGCATTGCCAAGGGTTGCAGGCCTTGCTGGCCAAAGGCCCAGGCTCCAAGCAAGGCCCAGGCGCTAGCTTCTGCTCCAGCCCAGGCCCAGGCTCCAGCTTCTGCTCCAGCCCAGGCCCAGGCTCCCAAAGGTACCCAGGCCCCCATGAAGGCGCCACAGTAAGAGCCTCTTATCTGCTGATATAAAAACAGAAAGACTGGTGTGATGCCTGGGTTGCCATCTGTGGGGGGCTGGTGTCCTCCTGTGCCCTTTGTACAAATAAACCTGAGGCAGGAAAAAAATAAAATAATAAGGACTGGTTCCTTTGCCCTTTGTGGTAAGCCCTGCCATGGCCTAATCTCTCTGCTCATGAGCAGCAGCGTGAATGAGCACGCACAGTTCTGGGGAGCTGGAGGTTCAGGATAGCCTGGTCTTAGTCAAGCTGGTAAAACTCCTCTAAGTAAGCCTGGTGTCTGCAGGTGTCCTTGTGACTCCAGGTCTGTAAAGCACTTGGGCACATGGGAATGCTCGGCATATTTGCTTATCATTGTGTGGGCTGTGTCTTTCTGCCTCTTCTTACTCACATTGAGCTTTTTTCTAAGTACACTTGAGGAGCTGCTGTCTCCTTTTTATTAGTGCCAGTTTGCTGCACATTCATCATGAGCTGCTGTGTATCATATCTAGGGTTTTTATTTGTCTTTCCTCTTTTTCCATCTTCCGTGATCTCTAGATCCCCTTCCCACTAGCAAAGTATCCATCCCCATTTCTTATTATCATCTGCCTCTGCTTGTGCTCTTTATTTATGCTTTGGGTTTCTCACATAAAAGAAGCCATATAATATTAGCCTTCTGTGTGTGTTTTATTTCACTTAACATTACAGTCTCAAGGTGCATCCAGTTTCTTACACATGACTCAGGTTTGGCCTACTTTACAGCAGAGTAGAACTCCATGGTGTTGGTAAACACTTAGGCCACTGCCTAGATTTAGCTCCTATGAGTTGTGCTGTTATAAACATGGTACACATGTGTCACTATAACATGTCTTTAACTCTACTGGGAGGATACCTATAAGGGGAATAGCTGGATGTGGTGGATGGACAGCTGGTGGGCAACTGCTAACACCCAGCTGAACTAAATCAGCATGGTGCTGGGTGTGGAGGACCCACCTGAGGCCTGTTGCCAGCAGCATGAAAAGAGAATTGAAGGGAAAGATGGTGCTGTTGGTTCTCCTGGAGAAGCTTGTTGGCTGGCTTTCCTAACCTGAACTCAGCTGTTCTCACTGTGGGAGGAGCTTGGGACCTCACTGTCGCTGAGGACGACTGTGGTTCTCTTTGGGGGAGCTGTGGTGCTTACCTTTAACATTGCTTTTAGCTCCAGTGCAGATCCTTCACCCCACTGGCATGGACTTCCTAGCTTCCACCACTGACCTTCAGGCATTCCCGGCACAGATCCGTGATGCAGACTTGCATGAGACACGGTTGTGGGCTCTAGGTGTCCACCTGGACGTATGCAGGACATTGCCATGGGCTCTAGGGCTTCATCGGGACTCCTGCAGCACATTGCCATGGGATCCAGGCCCTCGGATGGATTCTCTGGGTCTCTGGTGCATGGACAGATCTCCCACACTCTTTTGTACTTGACTCTTTGGGGGACTATTATAAAATAATACTATAAATTATATATCTTGTATTAAATCCTTTTCCTTACAAACCCTGACTACAACACTGAGTCAAAAGGAATTTCTAGCTGGGGAGATAGCTCAGCTGCATAAGCGCCTGCCTGACAATTGCAAGATCATGAGTTCAATCCCTGGTACTCCCGGCTCAAAAATAAAAATAAAATAAAAGTAAATAAATTTCTAGTTTTAGTTTTTTTGATTTTTAAAATTTATTTATTTATTTGGTACAGGGTCTCACTGCACAGCTTGGACTCATAGTGATCCTCCTGTGTCAGCCTCCCCAGTGCTGGGATTACAGGCACATACCACCATACCCGGTTCTGGGGCTGACACAGCATGTGGTACCTGGGACCGAACTCTGGTCCTTGTGCTTGCCAGCTAGGCACTTGCTGCTGAGTTATCTCCCCAGCCCGAGTCTTACTCATTTGAGCGATCATCACACTGATCTCCATAGTGGTAATACCAGTTTATATTCCCACCAACAGTGAAGAAGTTTCCTGTACCCCTGCGGCCTCATCAGCATTTGTTATTTGATTTATTGGTGTTCTAATCATTTGATTATTTAACCTCAATGATGTTTTAATTTTTATTGGCCAGAGGTGTTAAGCATTTTTCATGTATGTATAGTATTCTAGTTGTACTTCTGAGAGATGTCTGTTCATCTCAGTTGCCCATTTTTTTGGTTCTTTTATTGGGGGATCTATTTCTTTTACTTTTTTTTTTTTTTTTTTTTTTTTTTTGTGGGACCGGGGATTGAACTCAGGCCCTTGCACTTGCCAGGCAAGTGCTTATTCTACTGAGCCATCTCCCTGGCCCTATTTTTTTAATTCATATGTTCTAGACATTAGTTTTAATCAGAGGAGTAGCTGGCAACATTTTTTCCTGTTCTGTGGGTTGTCTCTTCACTCTGTTGATCATTTGTTGCATAGAAGCTTTTAAATTTAATGTAATCTTATTTGTTGATTCCTGATGTTGTGGGTTTCTGTTAAGAAAGTCCTTGCCTATGCCTATGTCTCCAGGAGTTTTAACTTATTTTATGTTCTAGCAGACTATTTCTGTTTCAACATTTAACCTATCAATTTTGATTTTAGTTTACTGCCTGGTGAGAGTATGGGTCTAGACTCAGTCTTCTGTATATGGATAACCAGTTTTCCTAGCACCATTTGCTAAAGAGGCTGTCTTTCCTCCAGTGTGTGTTTTTGTCTTCTTTGTGAATGATCAGAGATAGCTGAATGTTTGCTCCATTGATACCCATGTCTGTTTTTGTGCCAATACCATGTTGTTTTTATCACTGTAGCTTTGTAATGTAGCTTGAAATCTGGGATTGTGTTGCCTCCTGCTTTGTTTTGTTGACAGGATTGATTTTGCTATTCTAGGTCTTTTCTGGTTCCACCTAAATTTTTTAGGGTTCTTTTTGGGGGGTGCTTAGTTCTGTGAGGAGCGCTATTGAAACTTTGGAATTTTAGGTACTCTATGAAGACTCTCTGTGAGATGACTCTACTGTGCATGTAGTGTGTATTTTGTAATCTAGTCCTTCCGCATCCTTGTTGTTGTAGCACTTTATTACAGAATTCACAGTACTGTACACGTTTGTCTTCCCATAACAAGATCACAGATTCTTTAAGGGCAAGGCAAAGTTTGCCATGTACTATGTAACAGAACCTTTGATAAATCATTGATTTGAATATGGAGGTCGTCTTCTATCAGTGGTGCAGTGTTAATCAAACAGGAGTGTTTCTTTGGGCTTCAGTCTATACCTGGCAATGTGATTAGCAGATTGGGAAGTAATTATTTTTGGCACTTAAGTGTTGTGCTTAGACGATTACTACAAGCTCACTGAGCAGTCATTCTAAGTACTAGATTACACAAATCTTTTTATCTCTATAATTGATTTCAGCCACTTTTAAATCAGTACATAAGGGAGAGTCCTATTTGTTGCCATTCTACTATAAGCCAGTAAGATCATTCCCCTTTTAAATTAATTTTCTCTGAGAATTTTAAGGGTGATGGCTTAGGTATAACATTTTATTTCTGTTTTGTAACTTATATTTTAATGGTTGAATCTTGACAGCTGGTGTTAAGAATATGTAGTGGCTTATTAGAGCATAATTTGTGAATTCAGTAGGTCAAATATTTCCTGATTCTTTTGATGTGTATCAAAACTACTAACAGTTTACCATCGTTTTCTTTCCTAAGGTCAGCTTTACACAGGGATTGGTTCGATTGTGTTCAGAAAAAAATACCTGTGAAATATTTTGAGTACTATATTCATGTAAGTCCTTCTCTTCTCACTTTAGGTAAATCAGCAGGCTGGGAAGACGATGGCTGGGGAGCATGGGAAGAGGCAGAGCTCCCAGAACTTGTAAGTCTCTGTAAAGAAAGGTGTGCAGTGTGTTGACAGTGGCATTTCCCAGGGTAATGTGCACATGCTTCGGCACTAGGCTGACATTCTAAAATCTGTGTTGGGAACATTTTTATGCTGACTTTACAGTGCCTCTCTCAATCCTTGTTCACAGGGATCTTAGTGACTGTAGAGCCAGGTGGGTGTCTTAGTCCACGTGGTAGCAAGACATTTGAGGCCAAATTCATTGTGAGCAGCAAGGTAGTTGGGTCATGGCCCTGGAGGCTCAGGAGTCCAAGGCTAAGTGGGCATCTAGCGAGGCCCTTCTAGCTGTGTTATCCCAGGCCAGACAGATGACAGACACAGAGACAGAGTGTGAGCACGCACCACATGGTCTCCCGCTGCACATCTGCTTCTGTGATGGCATCCACACCACTTTACATGGCCTTGTGGCCTGGCCCTCTCCTTAGGCCTCATCTCCCCACACTGACTGATTGAGCACTGAATTTCTAGCACATGCTTCTGGGAGACATTCAAACCATAGTGTTGGGCTCAGTGGAAGATAGTTGTTTTTAGATTCTTTATCCTTCTCATAAGTTACTCTTTTAGACTCTCAGCCATTCAGTGAACATTTGGTATGCTCACTATATATTCTAGACATTTTTCTAGGTCCTGAGCACACAGCATTGAAGAAAGTGGACAGAGTCTATGTATACATGTATACATGTATACACTGTGACTAATAGAAAAATCTAATAGAGGGTGGCTTAAACAACAAGGTTTATGAATTCAGATAGGAAGTCCCAGGTTGGTTGGCTGGGTAACTCAATGGTCATCAAGTTCTTCCTTCTGCTTTGATGTCTTATTTCTCACATAGTGTGGCAATGTGTGTCTTCATTCATGACCAGAGGGAGAGAGAGTTGGCTTTTCCATGACTTTTTTTTTTTTTTAATGAATTTAGGACAGGGTGAACAGAATCTCACTATGTACATAGATCGGACTCTTGTAGTGATTCTCCTGTTACAGCCTCCCATGCACTGGGATTCTAGGCACGCGCCACCACACCCAGTCTCACTTGTTGTCTCATTGCGCCCCAGGGGTGGGGCCAGCACGGCATATCGAGGATAAAACCTGGCTGCTGTGCTCTGCCTAAGCAGGCAGTTTAGGCTGCTGAGCTATCTGGCCAGCCTTCCATGACTCTTTAGAAGGGAACAACTTTCTTAGAAGCCTCTGGCAAGCTTTGCCTTGTATTTTCTTAAGCCCATGGCCACATGCTCATTTCTGAACTGGTGAAGGGCTTGGGTTTTCATTGGTCAATCATATCAATGACTTTTTCATGGATTTTCTTATACCTTTGTTTACTGTCTTGGATTCTGTCTGAGTTGGAGGATAAGAGGGCCTGTTTCTCTCTGGCTTCACAAAGAAAAGGAACACCGATACCGGATCCAAGGATTTTTTTTTTTTTTTTTTTTTTTTTTTTTTTTTTTGAGTAAAGAACATATTGTGGTAGGTTTTATGGTCTATGATTTCAAAAGTTTGCACTCAATGAGGTAAGAGAAATGCAAGGGAAGATGAAGAATAGCCACCAGTGGTAATAATTCCACAGGGAATTCAAACGAGTGTGTGACAACAGAGATTGAAGGCCAGCTGCAGACCGGGTGGTGGGGAGGCTTCTCCAGAAGTGACCCTCTAGCTAGAAGACCCGTTGAGTCAATGAGCTGAGCAGTGGCAGAGAGCTGTGGGCCAGGACAGCAGCTCCACAGCGCCTCCATCGCCCCAGAAAGAAACCCGCACTCTTTAGGGTCACTCCCTGTTCCTCCCCAACCCGCCCTGACAGTCGCTGGTCTCCTTTCTGTCTGAGGATTTGTCTGTTCTCAGTATACACCTAAGTAGAAGTAGGCAATTGTTTTAAAAGCCAGAGTGGCTTCTGCTTACTCATAAATTAGACTTTTCGTGGATTTTCTTATACCTTTGTTTACTGTCTTGGATTCTATATTGACCACTTTTCCATTTCTAAAACAAAATAGCCAACTTCACAAATTAAAAGAGGAGTTTATCTTAGATCACGGTTCCAGTCAGCGCACGGTTGGCTGGCTGGAAGGTGAGAAATCAAAGCAGAATGAAGTGATGGAGGAAAGCTCATACGAGCCAGGAATTAGAGCAGGGAGAGTGGCAGAGAAGGAAGACCCGGGATGAGAGCGCACCTTTGGAGCTGTGCTGGCGGTGAGCCGCTTCTTCAGTTAGGCCCCCCTCCGAAGAAGTCCATTAAGCTAATGAACTTATATGGGGATTAATCCACTTGATGAAGTTAGAACCTTTGTGACCCAGTTACTTCCTAAAGGCCCAGCTCTGAGACTTTGGGGGAACATTGTGGATCTAAACTACAAGATTCCACCCCAGCCCCCAAAATTTCATGTCTGCCTCGTAATGCAAAGTCCATTTAATCCACCTCCAAGAGTCCCAAAGTTGTAACAGGTCCACCATTGCTCTAAAGTTCAAGTCCAAAGTCTCTTCTGAGACTCAAGGCAAACTTTTAACTGTGAGCCCCTCTAAAATAAATCAAAAAGCAAGTTAAATAATTCTAAGATGCAGTGCTATTTATAGCTATGCCAATACTATCAGAAATTTTACTCATGAAACATAAAGCTGCTGTTACTTGCACAACTTTTAGTGATTCTGAATTACTCTAGAGGCTTAACCAGCTCCAGCTCCAAAGCCACAACTAGAATCAAAGTAAATGTTGACAGACCTTCATGAGGGCGAGTGATACGGCTGCTCAGTAGGAAGAGAATGGAAAGGAAATGTCCCTCTCTCAGTAGGAACACACAGCAAAGGGAAAACCTCCCTTTCCTGAGATAGTGACTGGGCCAGGCTTGTTCACGTTAAAGATGACACCAGGGGTGGAAGAGGAAGGGTGTCTTGGAGTCTGCCTATGGTGGTGTCACAGCGTTGCCACTGTGCCTGTAATGATAGGGTCCTCCATCCAGCGCTGTGAAAGTGAGGCTGTCCCTACCCAGAGGCAAGCATGCGCCCCTCCTTTGTTGGTCTGGCCTAGACAGTGGCAGCAGTGGCTGGCTGGAAACGTCAGGTGGAGGCGGCAAGGAGTCAGGAGGAGTGGCCGCCACCCATTGAGTACCGACTCACAGTACCCTCTGCTAGTGAGTTCCACAGAAAATTGTGAAAGCTGCAGGGACATTTTTATTTTTGTCTCTTAGCTCTTTGAGAGTCACTTCTCAAAGGCAGCAGAGAGTAAAGGGTTTTTCTCTCTAGAGAGACTTAGTCCCAGGGATCTGGACATGGCTTTGAAAAAAGGAAATGTCCCTGTTGGTGTTTCTGATTGCAAGGTGACAGCTGTTATTGAGGCTGAGTAAAGAAAACCGCTTCTGGACCTGCAGAGCAGTAGTCACTCTGGTGACAGCAGCAGCAAAAGGAGTAAACTGGAGCCTTGAGAGACAGTCAGGTGGGGACTGTGATGGGATGAAGAAACCGCATAGGAGGATGACAAGAAGGAAGAGGGAGGGGGAAGAGGCCAGTGTCAGAGTAGCAGCTGGAGGAGGCTCGCTGGTCCTGGCCCCTCAGGCATCAGGGCACTCAGGAGCCCCACCCACCCCAGAGCTGAGGAGGCTCGCTGGTCCTGGCCCCTCA